TATGGCATAAAACTGTTAGAAGACGTCATAATATACTATGGCATAAAAGGTCATAAACTCGTCATAGTATGGTAAGGCATCAAATGAAATTGTATTGGAAGGCATAAAAATGACAAAAAACGTCATTGTATAGTATGGCATAAAACTGTTAGAAGACGTCATAATATACTATGGCATAAAAGGTCATAAACTCGTCATAGTATGGTAAGGCATCAAATGAAATTGTATTGGAAGGCATAAAAATGACAAAAAACGTCATTGTATAGTATGGCATAAAACTGTTAGAAGACGTCATAATATACTATGGCATAAAAGGTCATAAACTCGTCATAGTATGGTAAGGCATCAAATGAAATTGTATTGGAAGGCATAAAAATGACAAAAAACGTCATTGTATAGTATGGCATAAAACTGTTAGAAGACGTCATAATATACTATGGCATAAAAGGTCATAAACTCGTCATAGTATGGTAAGGCATCAAATGAAATTGTATTGGAAGGCATAAAAATGACAAAAAACGTCATTGTATAGTATGGCATAAAACTGTTAGAAGACGTCATAATATACTATGGCATAAAAGGTCATAAACTCGTCATAGTATGGTAAGGCATCAAATGAAATTGTATTGGAAGGCATAAAAATGACAAAAAACGTCATTGTATAGTATGGCATAAAACTGTTAGAAGACGTCATAATATACTATGGCATAAAAGGTCATAAACTCGTCATAGTATGGTAAGGCATCAAATGAAATTGTATTGGAAGGCATAAAAATGACAAAAAACGTCATTGTATAGTATGGCATAAAACTGTTAGAAGACGTCATAATATACTATGGCATAAAAGGTCATAAACTCGTCATAGTATGGTAAGGCATCAAATGAAATTGTATTGGAAGGCATAAAAATGACAAAAAACGTCATTGTATAGTATGGCATAAAAATGACAAAAAACATCATTGTATAGTATCGCATAAAAACGTCAAAAGACATAGTATACTATGGCATAAAATTAAAAAAAAACATCATAGTATATTAAGGCATAAAAGGTCATACAAACATCATAGTATGGCAAGGAATAAAACAATATACTACAGTAAGGCATAAAAATGCCAAAAAACATCATAGCATAGTATGGCATAAAATGTCAAAAAAACATCATAGTATATTAAGGCATAAAAGGTCATACAAACATCATAGTATGGCAAGGAATAAAACAATATACTACAGTAAGGCATAAAAATGCCAAAAAACATCATAGCATAGTATGGCATAAAATGTCAAAAAAACATCATAGTATATTAAGGCATAAAAGGTCATACAAACATCATAGTATGGCAAGGAATAAAACAATATACTACAGTAAGGCATAAAAATGCCAAAAAACATCATAGCATAGTATGGCATAAAATGTCAAAAAAACATCATAGTATACTATGGCATAAAATAAAAAAAAACATCATAGTATATTAAGGCATAAAAGGTCATAAAAACGTCATAGTATGGTAAGGCATCAGATGAAATTGTATTGGAAGGCATAAAAATGACAAAAAATGTCATAGTATAGTATGGCATAAAAATGTCAAAAAACGTCGCAGTATAGTATGGCATAAAACGTCAAAAAACATCACAGTATAGTAAGGCATAAAAAGTCATAATATAGGAAGTCATAGAGGTAAAAAAAAAATCATAGTATAGTAAGGCATAAAAAGTCACAATATAGGAAGTCATAGAGGTAAAAAAAAATCATAGTATAGTAAGGCATAATAAAGTCATAGTATAGTAAAGCATAAAAACGTCATAGTATCGTAAGGCATAAAAACGTCATAGGATAGTAAAGCATAAAAAAGTCATAGTATAGGAAGGCATAAACACATCATAGTATAGTGAGGCATAAAAAGTCATAAAAACATCATAGTATAGTAAGGCATAAAAACGTCATAATATAGTAAGTCATAAAAAATATAGAACGTCATAGTATAGTAAGGCATAAAAACGTCATAATATAGTAAGTGATAAAAAAAGATAGAATGACATAGTATAGTAAGGCAGAAAAAGTCATAGTATAGTAAAGCATAAAAATTCATAGTATAGTAAAGCGTAAAAAGTCAAAAAAGTCATAGTATAGTAAGGCATAAAAAAGACAAAATAAAGTAAGGCAAAAAAAGTCCAAAAAACGTCATAGTATAGTAAGGCATAAAAACATCACAGTATAGTAAGGCATAAAAAGTCATAATTTAGTAAGTCATAAAAACATCATACTAAAGTAAGGCATAAAAAGTAATAAAAAAGTCACAGTAGTGTAAGGCGTAAAAACGTCATAGTAAAGTAAGGCATGAAAAGTCATAAAAAAGTCATAGTATAGTAAAGCATAAAAAAGTCATAGTATAACAAAGCATAAAAACGTCATAGTATAGTAAGGCATAAAAAGTCACAAAAACGTCAAAGTATAGGAAGGGATAAAAAAAGTCATAGTATAGTAAGGCATAAAAAAAGTCATAGTATAGTAAGGCATAAAAACGTCATAGTATAGTAAGGCATAAAAAGGCACAAAAAGTCATAGTATAGTAAGGCATAAAAATGTCATAGTAAAGTAAGGCATGAAAAGTAATAAAAAAGTCATAGTATAGTAAAGCATAAAAAAGTCATAGTATAGTAAAGCATAAAAATGTCATACTATAGTAAGGCATAAAAAGTCACAAAAACGTCAAAGTATAGGAAGGCATAAAAAATCATAGTATAGTAAGGCATAAAAACGTCATAGTATAGTAAGGCATAAAAAGGCATAAAATCATCAAAGTATAGTAAGGCATTAAAAGTAAAGAAAATGTCATAGTATAATAAGGCATAAAAAGGCATAAAAACGTCACAGTATAGTAAGGCGTAAAAACGTTGTTAAAGTAAAGCATAAAAAGTCATAAAAACGTCCTAGTTTAGTAAGGTACAAACAGTGATAGTATAGTAAGGCATAAAAAGTCATAAAAACGTCATAGTATAGTATGGCATACAAAGGCATAAAAATGTCATAGTACAGTAACGCATTAAAACATAGTATAGTAAGGTATAAAAAATCATAGTATAGCAAGGCTTAAAAAGTCATAAAAAAGTCACAGTATAGTAAAGCATAAAAAAGAAAAAAAACGTCACAGTATATAAAAAACATTAAAAAGTCTAGCATAGTAAAGCATAAAAACGTCATAGTATAGTAAGGCATAAAAAGTCATAAAAAAGTAATAGCATAGTAAGGCATAAAAATGTCATCGTATAGTAAGGAATAAAAAGTCAAAAAATGTCATAGTATAATAAGGCATAAAAAGGCATAAAAACGTCATAGTATAGCAAGGCGTAAAAACGTCATAGTAAAGTAAGGCATGAAAAGTCATAAAAAAGACATAGTATAGTAAAGCATAAAAAAGTCATAGTATAATGAAGCATAAAAATGTCATAGTATAGTATGGCATAAAAAGTCACAAAAACGTCAAAGTATAGGAAGGCATAAAAAAGTCATAGTATAGTAAGGCATAAAAAAAAGTCATAGTATAGTAAGGCATAAAAACATCACAGTATAGTAAGGCATAAAAAGGCATAAAAACATCAAAGTATAGTAAGGCATTAAAAGTAAAAAAAATGTCATAGTATAATAAGGTATAAAAAGGCATAAAAACTCATAGTATAGTAAAGCATAAAAATGTCATTGTATAGTAAGTCATAAATAGTCAAAAAAATGCCAAAGTATAATAAAGCATAAAAAGTCACAAAAACGTCATAGTATAGTAAGGCATGAGACAGTAACAGTATAGTAAGGCATAAAAAGTCATAAAAAAATCATAGTATAGTAAAGCATTAAAGGAAAGAAAACGTCATAGTATAAAAAAATCATAAAAAAGTCTAGCATAGTAAGGCATAAAAAGTAATAAGAAAGTCATAGTATAGTAAGGCATGAGACAGTAACAGTATAGTAAGGCATAAAAAGTCATAAAAAAATCATAGTATAGTAAAGCATTAAAGGAAAGAAAACGTCATAGTATAAAAAAATCATAAAAAAGTCTAGCATAGTAAGGCATAAAAAGTAATAAGAAAGTCATAGTATAGTAAGGCATAGAAAAGTTATAGTATAGTGAGGCATAAAAAGTCATGAAAACAACATAGTATACTCAGGAATAAAAATGACATAGTATAGTAAGGTATCAAAATTCATAAAAATGTCATATTATAGTAAGACATAGGAACGTCATAGAATAGTGAGGAATAAAAACGCATAAAATGTCATTAAAAGCAACATAGTATGCTATGGCATGAAAACGTCATAGTATAGTAAGGCATGAAAATTCATAAAAATGTCATAGTATAGTGGGCATTAAAGGTCAAAATAATGTCATAGTATAGTAAGGCTCCAAAATTTTACAGTATAAAAAGGCATAAAAAAGACATAGTATAGTAAGGCATAAAAACAGCATCTTATAGCAAGGCTTAAAAAGTCATAAAAACGTCATAGTATAGTAAAGCTTTAAAAGGCAAAAAAACGTCACAGTATAGTAAGGCATTAATATTCAAAAAATGAGTAAGTCATAACAAACCCCATAGTGTTGGTGATCATGATCATGATGTGAGTCTTCAGGTAGCCACCGCTGTTTTAGTAAATCAAATGTTAACATGACTAACTCATTTGTCTTGGAGATGTAGCCCTTTGGAAGGCACTTTGGAATGATCTAATATGACTTAATTCCAGATATAGTGTAAAGAAGTTCACTCAAATATTAGTAGCAACAATTCTATCCTCCCAAAATATAATACATTTCCCTATCGCCCATATGCAATCCTACGCCCTTGGCTGGATCTTAATCTCTATCAGAATTTTCTTTTCATGTGCAGTGGTTCAAGAGAAAATAGTCAAGATACTTAATGTTAAAATATTGAGAAACCCATTTGAGATATCCTGCCAGCTGACACACATATGCACTTGAAAAGAAAACCTCTATGATGGAGGTAATGAGGCTCACCATTTCTGAAGCCATCGTCCTCGCTGTCATCTCCAAGGTGTTCTGAAGCAGTCAGGAAGTCTTCTTCTATGGACGAGATGGAGCGATTGGTGTCATCTTCAATCCGCTGCCCTGCTGCTCGGCCCTGTTGATGCTGCCGCTCCTTTCCCCACTGCAAACCGATCAGGAACTTGTTGATCTCAAAGATGATGCTGCCGGGCTGGGTAGAGCGTCTCTGCCCTGAACACTGAACCAGGCACACACCTGTGCTTCTCTGCTGCCCACCCTGAATGGAACATGTACAGATACCTATTATGCATGCACACACAGAGACACATAATAACACACACATCATGTATACAAAACTCTTCCTGCAGACACACACAAAAGGTGCACACCAATCATGCATAAACTCACAGCTGACAACACATGTACATTATTTTAAGTCACAAATTATGAGCTATAATAATACAAACATCTTAAACCTTTAGTGAGTCTATGTAGCTACAATGGCTGTTTCTCCCCCTTTTATTCAAGATACTATAAACTCAATGGACTTGCTCATGCAAGTTTAATTGTCTGTGCAGGCTCCTCAGGCTGTGTATTGATTCTAACAGTGGTTTTATGCAGTGATGTGGTGAGCCTCAAAAAGTCTATGGATGGTCAATGGCTGTAACGGAACATTGTACTTAAAGAAAACTTCCAATAAAACTAGTAAGGGATGTTAGATATCCTTAAGTGTTTGTGTATTTTTATGTCTGTTAAATGTTTCAAAGTATTCTGAGATAAAAATGTTATGTCATACAGTATATTTTTCTGTACCTGCAAGTGTTATTTCCTGTACATGCAAAAATTGGTTTTCTTAGAGTGAAAGGGAGAGGATGTGCCTACTTCTGTGGATTGTTCCCAGCACGAAAGGTTTAAATCTAATCACACAAAATTGTTGTACACAAGTAAAGAACAGTTTGCACTCTCTGCCTTGTACTGTGGGGCCAGTTAATTCAAAGCCTGAAAATGCTCGCAAGGATTTGAAGACATCACTGCAAGACTCACCTGAGAGGGGGAGTGTGGGTGTGTTTGGCAGGCGTCTGAGGCTTCCAGGCCGCCGAGCAGTAGGATCTCATTTTCTTTCGGCTGGTGTACCGTAAGTAATTCAACAAGCTTTGGCAGATCTGGAGACACTGAAGCCAGTTTCTGCAGGAGACATGCCGAGCACAAAGAAACAATGCTGGATGATAACACAAAAAGCTTTTCTTCGAGTAACTTCAAAACTGAACATAATGTGTTCTCTGTCCTTCCAACTCAGAGACACATAATTATAAAATCCTTCCTGTAAGGAGTCTTGAACCATGTGGAATGATTATTGATCGCCCACCAGTGGCACCACCAGCTGCAAAAGGCTGCTAAATCTGCATACTATCTAAACAAATCAACCCTCTAATTCTGGGTAATGATCCTGAATCCATGGCAACTCAGCCAGTGTTTATATGTGAAATACAATGAACTCCTGGGGGATGAAAAGTGGGTGGGAAAGAAAAGGGGGCGCACGCAGGAGGGACAGGAGGAGGAGGAGGAGGGAAAGAATGAGGAAGCAGCTCACCTTGTTGTTTTTGTCATCACGACAGTCCGTTTTCTGAGGGTCCAGATTTACAAAACAAATCTGAGAGAGAGAGAAAGAAAGACAGAGAGTTACAGCGATGGACAAATTAGACCACAAAAGCTGAGCAGGAGTAGCCAACAAGTGCCATTTCTTTGTTACAAATCCTGACAGAATGATAGCTTTCCTCTAAGTGACTCTCCATTTAAAAAGTACAGCAGTTTGTCGTGTCTGAATAACCACTGTAACTGCACTGTCTCTCATTGGTAGAGCCCTTTCTAAGAAGACTCCCTTGCTTCACTGCAGGTGTAGGTGTAAACCAGAATGTCTTTCCATCCCTATCATCCTTTTTCCTGCTTTCGTCTTCCTCTGTCTCCACTCCCTCACTCTGTCCCTGTCACACTCGATGTGCCCCTTCTCTTCCCATCTCACCCGCCTTTGCCTCCGGCTGCAGGTTTAATGGTCTGTGATGGAGTCCTCGTGTCAGTGTTGGGAGTCTGGGACTGTCCGACGTCTGCTGTTTGATTCTACAGCACACAAGCTTCTGATCTGAGTCTGCATAGCCAAGTTAGTCCTGTGTGGCTAAAAGGATAAAGCATTGCAGCAGCAGCAGCACTTGAGGGGGAGGGAGAGAGGGGGTTATTTCCCACTTGAGCACCCATACTCAGCATGTGTGTGCAGGGTACTGTGAAGTGCTTTGGGAGAAGTGACATTTTTGTGTCTCAGTCAGGAACATATACTTTTCTATATATGTTTAACATCTAAATGCTACCATGCTTGTCATCAATAATCAAACCTAGTTGTAATGTGACTCACTGAGGCGTTCTCAGTCTTTTCAGTGTAAAACAGGCCCAGGTAGGACTCTGCCGTCTCTATTTTTCCTGTGCCATCTGTATACCCGCTCTACCTGCTGCTATCTTCCCACCTTCTCTCCTCTCTAGACCTGCAAAAAATATATATATAGTTTCAAATAATCCCATCTTGACACACATCGGTGTTTGAAATAATTTCCTTTGAACTACCTGAGGTGTGCTTGATTCATCCTGCCAGGCTTCTAAACAGCCTCTGCGCTTGTGAGATAGCATGATTTTCATCTTTTTTTTTTTCACGTGTCTTGTGTCGTATTTATCGAGATCTTTTCCCAGAAAGTCATGTCAAGGTATAGACACCACAATAGATCCTGCATATCACGTTGTCTGTTTGTTTTCTAGCTGGAAGTGAAGCAAAGAAGAAATAAATGCAATAAATAGGTCAATATACTCACGTGCATATATTTGGAAATAAGGCTGTAATTTTGAGGCACTTTGTGTATTTTCCTACCTTTAAAACAGTCAGACAGTGGGTTTGAGTCATCAAAGTAAAAGCTAAGATTAATAGGCAACAATACCAGGGAACGACAAAACCTGTCTGCAAAGCTGCATCGCATGCGCTAAAATGTCCTTCGGTAATGCAGCACTTTCAAAACAGGCCAATTTCCCCCTCACCTCCAATCTGGCATCCTGCAGTCAAACACAATATTTTCCAAACTAGCACGTCTAATGTGATGAAATTTTGATGCTTGAAAATTGATTCAGTCAAGTATAAAAAAATGTGAAGTCAATGACAGCTGACAATGAAAGAATATTTGAAAAGGTTTTCCCATCTAACCCTGATCATACTGTGTGTGTGTGTGTGTGTGTGTGTGTGTGTGTGTGTGTGTGTGTGTGTGTGTGTGTGTGTGTGTAAGTGTTTTCCTCCTCTGCCCTTCATGGACTGCATATGTCACCTGTAACATTTATCTGAATACCAAGACGCTTCCTCCTTTGTTACCTTTCCCTCAAAATGACAGCCTGAGGAGGATAAACAGTTTGCTCATTGGCATCTGTTTTTCAGATCAGTTTAGTGAGTGTGATGAGGACCTGTCAGAATAGCTGTTAAATGTCAATGACATACACATAGGACCTGAGATTATTCTGCACCTTTTACTGAAAACAAATGGTATATGATATGGATATACTGTATGCTTGTATAATACAGGTGGAAGCATTTCTATCCATACCACAACATAAGAACAGGAGGTATGAGGCCCTTGCTCAGGAGAACCTCAGCAGTGTTCACTCGTACCAATATTGGAAATCATCCCGGAAAAGCAGTGATGACATCTTCCCCCTGCCAGCACCTCGCCTGCAGATAACACTCAGATTGAGGCAAAAGCGAAGCAAGTGATCCACGATTTTGACCTTGAGAAGGGTCAAAGCAATTTAACCCCATCAGACGGCAAGAGCTGAGAGGCAGTTGTTCTAAATTTGGGACATTTGAGGACCGTCTAGTCCTCTCTGTGTCCATGTGTGAGACGAGCCCAGGGACATGCTCCGATTCTATCACTTTTTCACAGACATGCTAGACAACACTAGCTTGCATCAGCCTGTCTCTGAAGGACTGACCACGTAAACATCAGCTGAGGGATATAAAGAGCGAGGGAGGAAAAGACATACAAAGACAGAGAGGGTGAAAGTAATAACGTGATGATGTGGGGATAAACTGATACGGTGAAAGCAAAGTGGTACACTCAAGGGCTTGAAAAGTGCTCTGGATGAGAGAGTTGAGCGGTCATAACACTGTTAGGAGAAGTAGTGTTGTTGTTAAGTTTACAAGTAAGACTACACAGTTAAACCTCCAATAACTGATTTCTGGCCACTTTGGGGCATTAGAAACAAGCTCGGAACACAACACTGACATATTGACATATTACTACCTTTTAAGATGATACATCAAACTTATTTAACCCATTCAGCAGATACAGAGCATATTGACATTGATTTGGAGTTGTGTATCTGGCCACTTTATGAATCTGAGATCAAAATCAGTGTCAGATTTAAAAACTTTTGACATCCATGCAAAAAACAACATATAGGTTCAACATTCTTGATATAAACATCAGTTTTTTCCCATCGTGTTATCTCCACTCAGTAGCTGCAGCAGAGACCTTGGTAACTCTCCAAGCTTTCTCGCATCACTAGGTGCTCAACTCATGCTAATCTACATCTGTGCTCAACATTGGCCCAGCGAGCCAAAGTGAAACTCAGGGTGACTCTGGCCACCTGTGCTCATGGACCGCCAAGACCAAACTGGACAGCAGCAACGGGGATCTCAAAAGAGGCTCAGAGGCAACGGGCAGCAACAGAGGCGTGTTTTAGTTTCACCTTCAAAAAAATGTGAATGCTTGAATAGATGGTTCTGCAAGGTAACATGAAGGCCATCTTAGGGATTCTTTGTAAAGGGATGCCAGTAACCATGCCAGTACTATAAAATAAAGCAGTTACATGCTGCAGTTTTGTCCAGTCAGTGTTAGGGGCTGCTTTATTTTCATTCTTGACCTTGAAAGTAGTAGTTTGACAAAACGATTCCAACTCAAGCCAACGTACTAGTTTTGTCCCCCCACCCACTTACTAGCTTACGAACCAACCAAATCAACCATCAACCATATCACACTTTCTATCAGTGGATGGAGTTTGCTCAGTTGATAGCTCTGTTGACAAGTGAGCTCTGTAGTTGTTTTTCAGCCCTTCAGTTGGTAGGGATGTGGATGCGCAGACCCAAGAGCCAGATTCAGCTACAGCATGTTATTATTGGAGGCACAGTGTGTGTGTGTGTGTCTGCGATACATTAACAATACAGACACACACACACACACACGAGTTGAATTGTCCCAATATATTTATGCATAAAATCCTATTTGGCCTTGGACATACAAAACTGTCAGGCAGGCAGATTTCTTTCTTTCCTCTACACACACACACACACACACACACACACACACACACACACACACACACACACACACACACACACACACACACCTACAAATAGAGCTTATTCAGATACTTAGCCACAGTTTCAGTACAATATTACATTACCATTACAAACATGTCAGTCTCCTTTGTCCATCAAAGCTTCATTCCTCCTCAGCAGCCCTCCCTCTCTGCTCACTACTCTGATCTTCCCACACACAGCTGCTGCTCTCAGTCCTTCTGTCTCCTTTTTTTTCCCTCTACTTTTTTTTTTTTTGCTCTTTTTCATGATTTGAAACATAAAACTATTTTTGTAGTTGCGTAGTCCTTCATTTTACCATGCTTATTTTGTGTGCAATGAAAAATGGCTACATAAAAGAATTAGTGAAATAAAAACTTCAGTTTTGGCAGCAGGTGGATCAGTTATGAGAAACTAGTGCAGGACTCACTGGACTTATATATAGGCTTCTACTGATCATACAACCACAGCTAAGTTCCTTTACCCCTGTATTAGTACTGTCATTGTCTTCTGTCCAAAAGATAAGTTCCCATTTCCCACACCCCTGTGAAGCTCTACTGGTGCTGCATGTAAAATGTCCCTAATGCTGGCCACAAACAAGGGTTCAATCACAAAACTTAATATAGCTCCCTCCATTGTAAAGTGTTTTGACTTATCTCAGTGGCTGGCAACTTTAATTATATTCCATTTTAAGTTTAATTGAATTCAAATGAAGCTTGGAGGGAAATAACATTAAGGCTCAGTGACTTCTGCCATATTAATTTTGTGATGCGACCCACAAGCTAAACAGTGCTGGTGCAGGAACCAGACAGGCGTGCTGATCTCACGTACGGGTGAATGTAAACAGCCTTATTTTCTGTTCGTAATTTTAAGTGCTGATAAAATGCATAACATCAGCTGTTCACGAAGCACAACAGGAAATACCATATGATGAGATTTCACATGCTGCACATTGAGGTTGTTCAGGCTTTTTGCCTGAGTGAGCTGCTTCCTATTTAACTGCTATTTTGCTTCTAGTGTTTTACCAGTAAAAGTAAGATAGTGTAGGATGCACCGTCCTTTAATACATATGTGAAAACAGTGTGTACTTGATACAGCTGTGCCTTTCAACTGCGCAAAGAAATAGGATATATGCAGTATAAGGAGTATCAAACACACACACACGCACTCATTTACTCACAATTAATGTTTGGCTGTGAGTTGCTCAGCTTGGATGTTTCGTTTTAGCCCCAGGCTAAAGCGAACATCAAGAAGCTGATGCTGTCCTGGTTCTC